ATATATATACAGTACATATTTTAGTGACACATTTCCTGTGCGTGTTTGTTGCTGCTATTTAGATTCCTCAATTTGCATGTAAGGGGATGCACTGAGGGAGTTTTGTTGCCATAATGCTGTTGTATCTAGTGATTCAGACTGGGAATACCTTGGAGCATGTTGACATTCTTACAAGAAGTAGAAGTACCCTTGTTTGTTTCCACGGAAGGATAATCCTAATTTTAAAGCCTTTTTTTCTTGTTTTATTAACATCTTTCTTTTTGTTAGGCAATCTGTAATATGGAAATAAAACACATGGAAATTTTTATATAAAGAGGTAAAAAATAACATGTTGCTACAAACAAATTTGGCTCATTATAATAAACAGCATCATGGAATTTTAAATGAGTCAGTCGTATTATTTCCCCTCAAAGTAGAAAAATAAAATCTGACTCAACAAGCATGACCTGCAATGTGAGGATTTGAAAATAAGGCTAATTAGTGTCTAAAGACTACAGAAGATATAAAGTCTAATTATTGCTATTTGACACGTAATTAAGACATTGTAGTTGGGGGAAAAAGTGATAGGAGGACCCAGTCTGAAAGACTTTAGAAAGTTAAATTAAAACTTCCTGTCTGTGAAGAAAAAGCAAAACATTGACATGAAACCACATCTGAGGATTAGTTACAGCTGGCCTGATGCATAAACTGAATTTATATAAAGTAGTTTTACCTGCCATTCAAGTCATTTATTTGGAAATATGCATCATTTTTGGAAAATAACTACAAAACCATACGAAACATTAAAATAGTTTCACTTCTGGTTTTAGTTTTGCCTTGTGAGAATTGATAACCCATTTCCATATTTACTTCTAAAAGTCTCATTTTCACTGTGATGCTTGTTTTATCAGCTATTCTCAACAGGTTTTTATTTTACGCAACGCCTACTTTTGTCTTAAAGAGCGAAGATGTATTGCGGGCCTTCAAGAACGGCTGCAGGATTACACAGTCGGTTAGCACAAGAAGGTCCAGGGTTCAGTAATATGCTGCGTGTGGCATCTCAGGCCTCCCACAGTCAAAAAAAAAAAGCTCATGTTACCGAACCAAAGTGACCCTTATCTGACCCCTGGTGCGAGTGTGCGGACTGGGATGACCTGGCAACCATAGTCCACCTCTTGCCTGAACATGTTTGAGCGAGCGCAGAGAATGAATAGACAAATAAACACACCCACCTTTAAAAATAAATTAATAACGATAATAATGATCCCATGCAGCCTACCGTGAGATGCATATGTGGTGGCAGCCCCGCTGACACTGAAGCGGTTGAGGTTTAGTCTGTGACTCGTCACATTCTTCTGGGGCTGAAACATGATGATGTGAACCTTGGGGGCAAACATGCAGCCCAGCACCACAAAGCCACTCAGACTGACTGAGATGCACATGGTAGTGGTCTGAACCTGCGCGGGGAGGAATTACAGAAAGAAAGAAATCAGTCGCCAGACTTTAACTAATAAAGCTTAATTTAGTCTAAGTTAATGTTAACAACTAATTTGAAGATGGTGATTTAAAGTAATTCAATTGGAATGGACTATTGACTGCACTGACAATGAACTGCTTTAAACAAAACAATGCAGTTTAGTTTAAAACAGAAGCTGCTCGACTGCAGTTAACTAAGGAGGCAAATAAAGCGAGAGTACAACTCTTTGTTTTCACACCTCTTTACCTTTTAACAGTCCGGAGGATAACAATTACAGACTGATCAATAAAGGACTCAATCAACAGGGACCACAGAAGCCAAACTTAACAGGCTCTGGCTGCTGGCTTTAACTTCATTCCATGTGATTCATTGTATAAATCAATGCTAAGTGCTGTCTTACTCGCTTGATCACAGGGGCTGCAGAAGTGTCTGTTGCATGTTTGATTCCGGCTGCCCTGATCATTGCTTTGAGCCCTGCAGCAACTCAAAAGTGAATTCACAGCAGAGCTGAGCACATAAAACAGTAATCAGCCATTCAAGTTTTCATATTTATGCAAATAATGATGTGAGTGGGTGGGTATGCATGTTGGGGATATTGTGCCTGTATCAGACTAATCTTAAAGTAAGATTTCTTAGAAAGGAAATTGTTATTCTGGAAGGAAGAGACTGAGAAAAAAAAGCACAGACAGAAAAGCATCAGCAGTTTTTTTTTCTTGCGCTCTTTGAAATGCCGGTTTTGTTTGTGGCCACGTGTGCTGGAGGGGTGCAGGTGAACACTTAAGATTTGTTCGGTTCAGGAGAACATTTATTCCCCTTTGCTGTTAAATCTGGACATGTGTCAGCACTTTGACTGAGCCTGTTTGTCACCTCCGCGCTGCAGAGCTGGGACGTAAGCCAGCAGGATTAGAAATAAGATGAAGTTGCCACTGCACTTGTTTATTCACTGCTTTGTTGCCTGTGTGCTTTTATCAGCCTCAAGAGGAAAATGCTGCTTTGCTTTCTTTAAAAAAATGCATTCCTTAAAGTTACAGTGCAGCTTTTACTTTAGCTTTACATGAACCTTAAACTTTAGAGTTTTTACTAAGTAAATATGTTTAAAACAAGATGGTGTCTATTCTACTTCTATTTCGCTAAATATAAAAAGGGACAAACTTACAGCGGGTAAAATAAGTATTGAACACGTCACCATTTTTCTCAGTAAATATATTACTAGATGTGCTAATGACATGAAATTTTCACCAGATGTTGGTAACAACCCAAGTGATCCATATACAAAGAAATCAAACCATAAATGTCCAGAAATGAAGTTATTTGTAATAATGTGGAATGGCACAGGGAAAAAGTATTGAACACACTTACTGAAGTTTATCTAATACTTTGTACAAAAGCCTTTGTTGTCAATGACAGCTTCAAGACGCCTCCTGTATGGAGAAACTAGTGGCATGCATTGCTCAGGTGTGATTTTGGCCCATTCTTCCACACAAACAGTCTTCAGATCTTGAAGGTTTCGTGGACCTCTTCTATGAACTCTGATCTTTAGTTCTTTCCATAGATTTTCTGTTGGATTCAGGTCAGGTGATTGGCTGGGCCATTCCAGCAGCTTTAGTTTCTTTCTCTGAAACCAACTGAGAGTTTCCTTGGCTTTGTGTTTGGGCTCATTGTCTTGCTGAAATGTCCAGCCACGTTTCATCTTCATCATCCTGGTAGATGGAAGCAGATTTTTATCAAGAATGTCTCTGTACATTTTTCCATTCATCCTTCCTTCAATTATTTGAAGTTTGCCAGTACCATATGCTGAAAAACAGCCCCACACCATGATGTTCCCACCTCCAAACTTCACTGTTGGTATGGTGTTTTTGGGCTGATGTGCAGTGCCATTTGACCTCCAAACATGATGTGTATTCTGGCATCCAAACAGTTCAATGTTGGTCTCATCTGACCAGACTATATTCTCCCAGTATTTCACAGGCTTGTCTAAATGTTGTGCAGCAAACTTTAAAGGAGCTTCAACATGCTGTTTCTTCAGCAGTGGAGTCTTGAGTGGTGAGCGTGCATACAGGCCATGGTGGTTCAGTGCATTACTTACTGTTTTCTTTGAAACAATCGTACCTGCTAATTCCAGGTCTTTCTGAAGCTCTCCACAAGTGGTCCTTGGCTCTTGGACAACTCTTCTGATAATTCTTTTCACTCCTCTGTCAGAAATCTTGTGAGGAGCACCTGGTCGTGGTCGGTTTATGGTGAAATAATGTTCTTTCCACTTCTGAATTATGGCCCCAACAGTGCTCACTGGAACCTTCAGAAGTTTAGACATTCTTCTGTAACCGATGCCATCATTATGCTTTGCAACAATAAGGTTGTGAAGGTCTTGAGAGAGCTCTTTACTTTTACCCATCATCAGATGGTTCTTGTGTGATACCTGGCCATCATTTGGGACTGAACCAGCTGATATTAACTTGCACTGACAAGGGGCAGGCTTGCTTTCTAATTACTGAGAGAGTTCAGCTGGTGTCTTGGCTTTCCATGCCTTTTTACACCTCCCTTTCTTCATGTGTTCAATACTTTTTCCCTGTGCCATTCCACATTATTACAAATAACTTCATTTCTGGACATTTATGGTTTGATTTCTTTGTATGTATGGATCACTTGGGTTGTTACCAACATCTGGTGAAAATTTCATGTCATTAGCACCTCTAGTAATATATTTACTGAGAAAAATGATGACGTGTTCAATACTTATTTTACTCGCTGTAGATCTACTATTTCAGCTATTTACACATCTGCAGGATGACCTTCTTGGACCTCAGACCTCTGACCTTTAAGCTCTTCTCCAATCCCTCTTTCTAACAAGGCATCATGTTCATCCAGCAGCAACTCTTACAGTTTATAGTTTTTAGCATCTGATCATGTACTCTGATTTCAATTAAACAATAACCCTTTTAGAAATCAGCTTAAGCTGATTCATGAATCAGATTGTGCAGAATTGATTAATAATTTAAAATGTGTGGTACAGATAGATCTAGCTGGTGAGCCGAACATGGCCCAGGAGCCATCAGTTGACAGAAATAACCTCACGCACCGTTGCTTGCTATTTTTCATCCATGCCGTAAATTTCAAGTCACAAAATACTGTAAATTCTGCTACATCAAACTTTGCAACAAAAACTGCTTCTTATTCCAAATTAACCCCAAGAACTAATATTGATTGCTTTACTTCTTATATGTAAAAATGTTTTTGCAAATCTGATATTGGATAATACTGGGGAAAATAGTAAATGTTTACTTAAATTTGTTAAACATCATCGTAAGAACAAGTATGTAATTTGCATGTAATTATATATATGTTAAAAACGTACCCTGTAGTCACTAGATGTGACATAGAAGATGGGAAGAAAGGCCAGCCAAATGATACAAGTGGTGTACATGGTGAAACCAATAAACTTGGCCTCATTGAAGTTCTCGGGGCACTTCCTGGTCTTGAAGGCATACCTGGAAAAAGACAAAAAAGTGCATAAAATTCCTGACAAAATATCTGCATCTACAGCACATTTTAGATTATTTCCAAACAATAAAGATTGCTGTTAAAGCATCTTTGAAACACGCACACAGTACACAAGATGACCAGGAGCACATCATATCCCAGCGACAGCAGCATGCTGGAGTCACGGACGTTACACTTGAGGATGACAGTCTGTCGCCGTTCTGGCAAAGTAAAGCGCCGCGTCCCGGGAACCTCCAGCAGCAGCCACACCGAGACCATCGCTAACTGGACGGAGATCAGACTCAGACAGATGAAGACCTTGACAAAGAAGGAAAAAAAAAAAAACAGAGACGCGGGGTCAGAGAGTTCCTGTTTGTCAAAACATCCATCCATCTGGGCGATGCAGATTGATGGACGGAACGCTCCTCTGGCTCACCTGAGAAGATGGGCTAATGAAGCGAGGCCTCACTGCGCCCGCTCCGTCTTTCACGCCATTAAAAATCCTGGCGATGCGGTTGGTTTTGGTGAGCAGGGCCGAGTAGCAGACAGCGAATGACGTGCCCAGGCCGAGCCGCCGCAGGGCACATATGGCAGGAGAGGGTTTGGCCAAGAAGAGGAATGTCATGGCGTAGGACATGAAGACTCCAGAGAGGAGGATGTAGCAGAGCTCTCTGCCAGATGCTTTCACCAGTGGGGTGTTGTTGTGTCTGACGAACACCCAGAACACCAGACCGGTGCACATAAACCTGCAGACACCAAGGAGATGTGCGCCCACAAACAATCAGCACTTGTTGGAACACAAATGGCCATTTTTCACAGTCAACAGATGATGTTCCATCAGCAAGACCTTTATGTACTTTTAGTTTAAATAACACAATAAATTTTATTTTTCCAGAAAACAAAGTTGTGAAAGCTCTATGCTTTTCATCACAGTTTTATGTTATTTAAACACATACCTAAGTTAAATTACTATCTGTTTTCCCTTCTGTTAGAAAATTGTTTTATTTAGTTTCATTAGTATAAATCAAACCATACATTAGGCAAATAAACTACAGTTAATGGTCTTTTTCAAGGCAGAAAAAACTTGTTCAAGAGATGGTTTAGGATATAATGTGATAGTGTCAAAATAAAAATCGAGCCTTCCAAAGTCCAGGATTTCAGTTTATTAAAATATGAGCACGGATTTGCCTTAATGTTCATGTGGAGAAGGAAAAAGAAGCAAACTGAAAGTAAAAAAAAAGGTTACTGATGATGAAGAAATTAAGAAACTAATATTCAGTTCTTTTTTCTACTGAAGTGACCCGGAAAAAGAAGAAGAAGAAAAAAAGAAGAAGCAGCAAACTGAAAGTGAAACAAGGATTTAAGGCAGGCTAATTAACTAAATTGTCAACAGCTCAAGGGTTGGACGTCGAGGTCTGTGTGTGTTTGCGGCCCTTGTTGGGACCAGCTGGTACTTATTGGGACCTAAGCCTTGTCCCCATGTGGGGAAATGCTGTTGGTGGATGGGAGGTTAGGTTTGGTGTGAATTGAGTTTAAATTAAATATAAGGTGAGGTTAGGTTTAGGGTAAGGGGCAGGATTTGACTGTAGAAAATAATGAAAGTCAATTCAATGTCCCCATAAAGATGGCTGAACTAGACCGTGTGTGTGTTTGTGTGTGTGTGTGTGTGTGTGTGTGTGTGTGTGTGTGTGTGTGTGTGTGTGTG